ATATATATATATATATATATCTAAGCAAGAAAAGACTAGCCGCGCGGCATCGAAATCGAGCAGGAGTCTTATTACCTTTCCTGTGAGAGAATCACGTTCCCTCAGCAATTCTACAATGCACCGTCGTCCTGGAGCACGAGGGCGATAAACCAGTACACCATCTCCCCCTCGCGCACCTCCGTCGCGGTCATCGCGGAGCCCCACGCCAAGCTGTCGTCATCACCCGTCAACATTGCCGTGCCCCACTTGGCCGGCTTCTCTACCCACACTGACCCGTTCTGCACCATCCGCTCTAGGACCGCCTGCACGCGGTGCGGGCGCCACATCAGCCGCTCTTCGAGCTGCCACTGAGTGAGCGCCACGCACTGAACATCGAGAGGGACGTTGGAGTAGTCACTCTCGTGGTCGCTCTCGCTGGCATCAGCACCAGGAGCCGCACCACGATACCACGGAATGATCCCTGCCCCCACGCGCGTAGCAGACACCACACCGCCCTTCGACCTGGGTTCGTTCTTCGCGTTGGACGCGCGATATGCCGCAACCGCTTCGGCCCGCTTGCTCAACACACTGTCGAGCAATGGCACATCGTCGGCGCTGCGGCTCCCGTCGGGTGTTGTCTGAATGTACTTTACGCCACCAAGCTTTACTACGTTGTAGCCGTCCCCCAGAACATGCAGCTTATCCAGCGCCATGCACACATCGCCTTCCGTGATGTCGTTGCGATTGCCACCCTTACCATCCGAAGTGTAGCGCTTCTTCATCAGCTGCACAATACGCTGTAGCGGGACATACGAGCCACAAAATTTCCGTTCCTTAATGCACACCTCGACCACCCTACTGGCAAGACCGTAGTAGAAGTCGCCCAGTCCCAGCATCCCTGCAAACACGTTCTTCTTAGAGGAGATAAGGTCAACGTCGAGCGACTCTGCAAGCTGCCGAAATCGTGCGCGGGCAACCGGGTCATGCTTGATCTCCTCTTTATGCTTCTGTGCGAGGATGCGCAGGTGGTCTTTGAGGCTTTCCAGCTCATCTGCTATCTGCCCGACCCGCTCAGCTGTAATTTGCGCTCCCAGGTCTGTCATCTGCCGCTGCGTCTCCTTCTTGTTCTGAACATGTGCCACACCAATACCGCGCCGCATCTTTCCACTCAGCCAACAGATAATGTTCTTTACTAACTTCACAAACACCCATGCTCAATACAGAGGTTTATATATATATATATATATATATATA